GCTGTGTGGTGCTCAGTTGCTGGCTGAGGTTAAACCACGACAGCATGGTATCGGTCAACCAAGGCAGCTAGCTGTGCGGGTTCATCAGCCTGATGAAAAGAGTGAGGCAGTAAATGCTTCATTCTCAAAACACTTCAGTGTAATCCAAACATTAAGAATGGCAGACAAACAGTCAAGCCTTGCTCTAACACACCAAGACAATTAAGTCAGAATATTATGCACCAGCAGAATAAGCTTCCAACTTTGTTTTGAGGTGAATTTCAATCAGATGCACAGACAAAAAGACAAGATGCCGCACGCAGCGGAGAAAAGAAAGGGGTTGAGGACAAAGAAGTGTATGTACTCACCCATCAATTATTAGCTGGTCGTAGGGTGCTGGTTTGTCACACACAGGGCACATCCAAGTGGGCTTTTTCTCATTCATCTGTAGGTAGAAGACTGCATCAAAGCACTGCAGATGTGCACAGGTCTCCGCCCGGCACGGGACAGACAGCCGCATCTTCACTAGCTGTTGAACCAAAGAGCAGAAGATCAGCAATAAAACCCACCCCCAAGCTATCGCCAGACGGTTCTCCTCCTAAGCAAAAAGATTTGTTAGCTTGCAGAGTTGGTCTGGCAGCAGAATAGGGTTTCTTGACAAAAATGGGCTAAAATATATCGCAAAGACTTACTGGACAGATAAGAGAGACACGAACGCCTGTAGTAGCAATTTCACTGTCTGGATCCAAGCGTAGCTTCTCTTTTACTGCATAAGAGTAGAGAGCACAAAATTTAACAGATGCAAATTTAAACCTTGGAAACAACGTGTAGCACAGGTCAAGCAGCTCACTGACAGCCCTCGGCTGCGTACGAGTCATTTTCCCCGCAGATGGACAACCTCTGCCAGTCAGGGACAGAGGACACAGGAGACAGAAAGCTGTTGTATTGGACCAGGCTTGCGCAACCCGCAGAGCTCAGTAGAGATGCTGCTTGGCTAGCCAAAAGCCTTGTGCATGATGAGGCAGTTCATGGTCTACAGGCCAGCTGGAGTACTTTTTGGTCAGCCAGGACCACGTTTTCTTACAGACCCTCCCCGTCCCGACGGCCCAGCTCTCCCAGCCAAACAGCACATGCTGCCTCTCATCCAGGCAGACCAAATGAAGGAGCCGGGATGGACTTAGGTATTGGGATGAGGGCAACCGGCTGCATGCTAACTGCTAGCTAGGCTGTTAATGCTCTCTTAGCAACCCTTCCACCTCTTCTTTACAAACTACAGGCTGGGCGGCTGGGGTACACAGAGGAAATCACACTGCTGACCAGCTTCTTTGTGTTAATATTATCCCAAGGCAGCCAACTGGGAGTTAACTTGGTCCGCCTTCGGAGGGGACTAAGACACCCACATACCTGGATTTCCCGCAAGAAGGACAAGAGTGGAGGGACAGAGCTCTAGCACATGGCAAGACTTCTGGAACGAAGTCAGCTTAGGCTTATCTGGTCATTAGCATAAGCATGACGGATTTTATTCCCTTCCGAGATCAGTGGCAATAGGACAGGGTTACCTGCCTCCCCCTGCCCCTTGAAATTCAGAGAAAGTTCCCCCAGAAGCCAGCAAACACGGGATACAGTCAAATTGACAGGAAACCACATCCCATCATTTCCCCATCAAATACACAAGCCTCTTCTTAGCGCTACTGGGCTGTAACTCTTCAGTTTATGTGCTGGCCAGCTCATTTATTCCAGCAGACTGTGTCACAGGAACTGCAAACAGACCCAGAGGTACCAGGGCAGACAGCTCAAAAAGGAAGGCAGCCATGCAAAAACAGTCACAAGCAGCGATCCAGCATATATTTGGGAAGAATCAGACGTTAGGAAAGGAGGTAGAGAATCCTGCCCCCGCTGCTGCATCCTGAAAGGAAAACCCAGAGGAGCTGCAGGCAAATCAAGAAGAGCAGCAGACGTGCAGGTCCCACACCAAGGTGCGGAATCAACATAGAAAATTAGCTTTAAACTACGACACAACTCCTAAAGAGTAGCTGCTGCTAACACTGCTGTCTGAAGAGTCCTTTGACACTTCCATCACCATTTTTCTTTGGAGCAAGTCAACCATTTATTTTGACCTTTTCAGATCATAACAAGATGTCTCCAGACAATGAGGCTACAAGTCGTTTTGCAACACACAGCTCTAATTAGAGAGTGACTTCTCAGTTGTGAAATTCCCACAAGATTACAAGATCTGGTGTTTTCTTCACGCTAGGAGACTGTTCATCCAAGCTTAATTTTTCATAAAGTTCTTTGTAAGGGCATTCTCTGTGCATTAATTACTACGATTCATGAGAAGGAGAAATGGGCATTTTCTAGGACCTCCTGATTAGAATCAAGCTCTCTTAAGACTGCTTTTGGATCCACAGCCGCGTATGTAAGCATCTCTGTTTTCAGACAATGTTCCTATACCAAAGTCAACAGAAGCATATGCAAAGGAAGATGAGTCAGCCCCGAGATGCAACCGAAGTCAAAGGGTAGCTTTAGTGAGTACTGAGGGATATTGCAATGAACATGATATGGAATCATTCGCAGAACAGACCAGAGCTATAAAAGCAAAGTTTACAAGCTACTTGTGCTTGCCAGTTTCAGATGTCCAAACAACTTCCAAGCAGTAACAGGCCAAAGGAACTGAAACGTTCCTATTTGGTTAAATTTAAGGTCACCAAATGCAACTCATCTCTGCCCCGAAGCCCAGCCAAAGCTGCTAGTTATCTGACTCGGTAGAACTGGAGGCACACACTTGTTACCGAGTGGAAAAGGCAAGAAAGCTCCTTTCAGAGCCCCTGCCTGCCCCTCTCAGATTGAGAGGCCATCCTGCGAGTGCTCACTTTAAAGGGAACAGCACATACCGCTGAGCCTGGTTTCAAGAAGCGTCAGAGAAGAATGAGAGGATCCTCTGCAGTTCAGGACAACTCAAAAGCCAGCCTCTGCTCAATTCATTTAAGGTTGCGGTGAACAGCAAAAAAAAGGGAGCACAGCCAGTGCTCAGGCTTCCAGTTCAGGACAACTCAAAAGCCAGCCTCTGCTCAATTCATTTAAGGTTGCGGTGAACAGCAAAAAAAAGGGAGCACAGCCAGTGCCTCAGGCTTCTGAGATGGTGGATATTTAACAAATGGAAATTTTCATTTCTTATGTCAATAGGTAAGTGCTGGCTGTCAGAGTGGTCTAATATGGTCAAGACTGCCATGGACACTACTTGGTGGGGCACACAGATATAGAAGCATTCAGCATCAGCTGCAGAAATGCTGCACTTAACGTGAAGATCAAAAGTTTGGCCTAAGCAGCAGCGTGTCCCACAATGTGCATTAGGCATCTGAAGACCGGACATGCCTGAAACCATCACCTCCCCTATAAACCACAGTCTATCCTCAAGATTATACTCAGTAAGAGTTGTCCGTGATCTGAATAGTACGTTTTAAAGACCATCATGATCCAGGGTGTTAGTTCTCCCACGCAGAACTAAACAGTAAGAATGTTCTCTCCAGTAACATTAAATAACTGGAAATCCTCCAGGCTCTCATGAGCTGCAAGTCAGACTCTGCCTTGGAAAGGTAATTTCCCCTCATTTTCAATAATGTTTTGCATTTGCCTCATACCATGATGATTTACCTGAGTGGTCTAGGATAAGCATCTCTCGGGATCATCTCTTCTCTGAAGCTCTCAACGCATATGAAAGTGCTGGTGGTGAAATCCCACTGCCAGCCCCTAGGATTCACGGGGGGGTTGGGGCAGCAGGACATTTTCACCAGGATCCCTTGCTCCAGAAATCTCCTTTGGAAATAGTGCGGGTCAAGGCCGAGGTGCTGTGGTAATGTTCGTCAGCTCATAATTACTCAGGTGAAGGCATGAAGCCATTCGCGTCAGAATGACACTGGCCCTCAGCGGCACTCACCACGATACGACCTGGGGACAAATTCTAAATCCAACTAAAGTGATTCAGAGCTTCTGCAGAGCCACGAGAAACACGCGCTGCAGAAGCGCTGCACTTGCACACAGATTTGGGGCAATTTCACACCACTGACACACAGCTTAGCAAGTCTGTTCAAATAAAAAGTGTTTTTACACAACTGGAGGAAAGAAATTGTATAAAACTTGGCAGCTGTTCCCAAGCATATTTCTAGCAGCCTGGCTATTAGGAATGCCGCAGTCTGACAGGCATACAGCGGACCTCCCCGAGCCACCTCATAAGCAGACATACTCACCAAGTGCCTTGCAGAGTTCTGGATGTTTGATCCCAATGGTTTTCAACCTCTGCAGCAGCTCTGCTGAGGTCATCTGCCGCACTAAGTACAGCCCCACGGAATAGCTCTAATGAGAGAAGGAAGGGAAAGAATGAGCGAGGCTGCTCTTTTGCACTCGTTCGTGCAGTCCTGCGCGATTTCCTTTGGCACGTACCTTCCCGTAATTCCCCCAGGTAACGGTGATGCGATTGGTCGCTGCAGACAAGTACATGAGATGGGTGAGGTTGATGGGACGACAGGGCCTTTTAGGTTCCACTCCAGGTTTGTTTGATGGATAGTAGCCCTAAGGCAGAAAGATTAAAAAAATATATATTTTTTTTTTTACTCAAGACGCTTCTATGTGGGTACGTCTATTCATCAGCTTCATCACTGAATTCTACTCACCCACAGTTTTCAAGGAGGGGGGTAGAAGGGAGCTGAACAGTCAGACTAAGCGCAAAGTAAAAAGGATCGAGTCTTTTTGCAAGAGCAGTTTATTAACATAGCTAATCCATTAGAAAATTAGCTTTACACTAAGCAGTGCACTTCTATACTCTAGCTTCTTGTCTGCATTCATCAGGAAAATACTTTCCTTCTAAATTACACAAGTCCTTCCAAAGTTGCAATGTCACACCTCCTGGCTGAGCTGACTTACCGGCACTGAGCAGTAACTATGATTCACTTTCACTGCAATGTTCGGAGGGTACTGATCCTCCTGAGGAGAACTAGTGTCTGTGTAACAGATTCTGTAAAGAAACGACACGTCTCTCAGTATCCCCATGCTGTTTGCATGTTCAAAGCTCGCTGCACATCAACAGCTACCAGCAGCCAACCATCACCACACCAACCCATGCTCCCTCATCTGGCCAAAGCAAAGCCAATTCCACTCGGCTCTCCCAGATCGGACGCAGGCTTGATACCTGGGCAGCAACATCGGACACACTGCTGTTTTCTACTGCAGCACTAACCCAAGCAGTACACGTAGGAAGCGGTTAGAAAGTAGAGTATAAGATGCTTGCGTTAGGCATGTGAACAAACAACTTACAGTAAGTTATCTTTGTAGCTACGAAAACCACATTGAAAGTTGATATCTTTTGGTAGTGCATCCCCTCCTCCCCTGTTCTGCACCTGATGTTAAATCAGCCCCATGCTCAGACATACCTTAGCACAACCTGAACCGATTTCACACCGGGTTGCAACTCCCTAGTAAATTAAAGAAGAAACAGAAACTTTAGATTAGTTATGTAAAATAAACCAACCAACCAACCAAAACCACACAAAGAAATCCCCAAACCAACCAAAATCAGCTGTCACTTTTGCCAGACTCAAGGGTTTTAGTTTGTTTGTTTGCTCAGACATACCTTAGCACAACCTGAACCGATTTCACACCGGGTTGCAACTCCCTAGTAAATTAAAGAAGAAACAGAAACTTTAGATTAGTTATGTAAAATAAACCAACCAACCAACCAAAACCACACAAAGAAATCCCCAAACCAACCAAAATCAGCTGTCACTTTTGCCAGACTCAAGGGTTTTAGTTTGTTTGGTTTTTTTTTTTTTTAATAAACCTTCAAAGGACTACTTTACAGAGTTTTATTTAAATTGTACAATTCCCTCTGCAAATATCAGTGGTCCTTTCCTAATGCACCGTCCTATAGCCTTTCTCTGGGTTTTCAAAACTGTAGAAGTGTTGGGTGAAAGGTATCAATTTACCTGGCATCCTTTTGCCGATTTCTAAGCATTTACAAAAACTAGGTTTTAAGGTCAGGTCTACCTGACAGTGTTCTTTGAAGACTTTCTTTGTTCAATTATTCAGCTAAAGCTGTTCATGCAAACCGAGGAACCAAGTATTAAGGCACCAGCAGAACAACTGTTAATATTGCTAACTTCAGTAGTGCTATTCATCACAGGATTTCAACTGGTATCAGGAAAGCAACATGTCACAGAACAAGGGTATTTTATTAGGAGTCTTTATACACAGGTGGAAAACATACTCTAATTTCTGCACAGGATGCAAGGCATTAGATAAAATCCCCAAATTAGCCTTGATTTGCCTCTGAAAGTGTTTCACATTCCAATCCCGTGTTTTAGTATAAATGTGTTGATTTTAGGGGTGGAAGGGATGGAACCTCAGTTCAGTTGACAGACAGGAGCTGATGTGGCAGTTTTAGATCGGGGGGGAAACACATCTGGTACCACCCACAAGCAGCGGCAGAAGATGGACCTGCGCTGTGTGATCATTCCAGACTCTCACTGAAACCCCTGCTATGAAATATTTAAGTTGTGTTACTGACAGTGAAAGTTTGCTCACAAATCTGAATATATGGAGAAAAGAGCGTCAAGAATTGGCCACAACACACGTAGTCTTTCATCACACTTAAAGACTTCTGTGGTATATCATTTCCTTTCTGTTAAGTCTTCAAACAGCTTCCCCTGCATTGCTTCTGTTGACCTACTGGGATCACAACAGTAACCAAGCACTAGATATCCACGAAACGTCATCTTTCTCCGACTCTGTGATAACAGTATGATTTTACCGCAAAGAGAAATATTTAGAGGTTTTACATTTAGTTTTAGAGGACCTCTTCTGCATCATTGTCCTTTCACAGCAGCAAGGACCAAGGGAGCAGGTCAGCAAAAGAGGAAGCCTTACTGCCTGCACTGACATCTCTTAGGCGTTTCATTGTTTGAATCAAAAGTTGCATCACGACAGAGGTCAGGGTAAATCCTAATCGGTGCAAGATTTTTTTTTTTACGCAGTTACTATAGCATCCTTCACAAGAAGGAAGCTTTCTTTCAGATGCAAAGAGCGTTACATGTATAGCTTTTGAACTTTTGATGGAAAGAAAAAAACCACAAATATTCACAACGCAAGCTCAACAGAGAATTTAGGTCATCAACAATTTCATACTGTTTCCTGCCCAAACGTACTATTCAAAAGCAAGAGTAGAGGAGCAGAAGTGAAACTTAGGGACTTAGACGGGTAAAATTGTACCTCCCACCTCCCCCAAAGCTATTTGCTTTACATGAGAAGTAGCCTGTCTGCTAATGTCCTCAAACACACTGTGTTTCCTTGCAGAGAACAAAAGCTTCCACAGAGAGGGAACACAGAGGAATTAGACAGCTACATTTTCTTGGACTGTTAAATACCCAATGAGAAGTACCTGGAATTTCTGATCAACTCCACTTGTCTTGGCGTTAATGCAAAAATGCACGGACTTTCCTGAAGCTTCTCATTATTCTGTGGAACTGAAGAGGAAAAAAAGACTGTACATCAAACTGATAATATCTAGCTCTTCTTACATTGCTAAGCACAAGGTGATTTTGTATGTTCTGAGCTATGTTTACTTCGAAGTCTTGTTTTCTCCCATACAGCTGCACAAGAACTCCAATCGTCACGCACTTTGGTAAATCTACTGTTGATTACAGCTTTGCCCATTTATGGCTTGCCTGTTTTCCTAGTTAGCGCACTAATAGTACACACTGGATTTGGATCTGCTTTTTCTTTTTTTTTCCCCTTTTCTTTTTCCTCCCCTCAAACAATCAATGAGCCAGCAATCACGCGTTCACGTAAGAACAAACCATAAGTGGCGTCACAGTGTGGAGACTAGAACTCAAAGAAGCATAAGAAGAGACCTATGCATGACATGAAAGCATGAAACCACCAGACTGATCAGACTGATTCTGGAAAAGAAAGGAAACAACAACAAAGATCAGCTCAGATACTAAAAAAAGCATCACAAAAAACCAGCTGTAAGAGACAAAACATGACTTACAAACACATGACCTTGAGGGTGCATTTATAGGTAGGGTGTTACAGCACTCCACTTTCAGAAAAACTTAACTGAGAACCCAGCATTAATTGGCCTTTTATCCATTCCCAAATGCATTTAACATGGTTAAAATTAAGCCTGAGACGTGGAAAACTTATATACTTAAGTCAGGACCTTTTATTAAATTCAAACACGCTAAAGTTTATTGTCAGCACACGTTTCCAACTGAAGTCAAGGCCCTGAGCTGGTGAAAGTCACAGGGTAAACACAAAGAACAGGAAGTGATAAAACAGCTTTTATTTTTTCTTTTTAGCAAGAATTGGATTTTTTTCTTTGCATCACTCCAATTGCTAGTTTATTCAAAGCCAATACACCAGAATTTGAGAAGCAGAAAAGTGTGCTTTACTGTCTATGAATAAGATCAGTTGAAGGAAGGATAAGACCTCAGCAGCTCTAATATCTTGGAAGACACGGTGACAATCTGATTCACTGACTATGGATACCTCCCTTTGGTAATTCAGCTTTAAAAACGCAAAAAGGGCTTTCAGAAATAAAAAAAAAAATTAGGGTATCTTTATGGACTTTCAATTTAATTCCAGTTTTCATCCAAATGTCTCTTGACCGAAACAACCATCGAGAAGTAAAGCATTTCATAAGGACTGTTCTTTTTAGAAAGTGACGAATGATAAGAACAACAAAAAAATCTTTTTAATATCATTGCTTAAATAACTGTCTATAGACACACTGTCCTCCTGATTGTTGACCTACGCGAAGACAAAGCAAACCAGATTAGGAAAACCGAGAAGTTGTTCGTGTTTTATTTTGCATTTGTATCAGCTCACCCTTCTTTTACAAAAATAGGGCCTGGCTGCTGAAAGCGGGCTGCCCGCAGCCCTGACTGGCACCGTTAGAGGATGCCGTCAGCGATGGAAGTCAAACCCTGTGAAGTAGCCAACAAATTTGCTATCCCCTCTCCAGCAAAATATTCGAGCATTAAACCCAGCACACTATTGAATTTCAAAACAGGTAATTTGCTCATTTCTGTGACACACCAAATAGTTGCTGACAACACCAGGAGCAAGTACCGCTCCGGGGCTGAGGCTGAAGGCCACCGCTACCACGCACGGGATACGATGGCGAGTTCGTACAGCAGTCCTGGCTGCAAAGCACCAGCTATCGATGGGCTACACGGTTAGACTGTGCAACCACCGTTACAGGAAAACAAAAAATAGTCAGGTGCCTACGTTCCTCTACGGCTACTTAGTTAACAAGTCTCCTCTTTGTGCGTGAAGTAAGAGAAATGAGCAGCAGCACACGCTCCCCATTTTCTTTATTTCTCACTGTGAAAGACCCTTCTCCAGGCAGGAATTGAGGGGTACTTCTCAACTGTGCTCACAGACAGCTGCTGGAGAGTCACACAAAGCACTCCAACGTTACCTGGACAAAAAAAAAAGAGCTGAACGGAGAATAAAAAAAATCAAGACAGGAGACTGCTAAACAGACTCAGGATGTGTCCATGCATACCTTGTTGCCAACAGCAATCAGAAGTGGATGCTTTGGAGAAAAGTGCAAGAGAACTTTCCCCAAAGGACCGGAAGAAAAAACGCTCCGAGACAGACCTGCGTAAAGACCCAATTCTCCTTCAAAATCTTAATGCTGGAAAATAAGCCCAAACTCCAGGAGGTACACTTGTAGGGTACCTAATCAGCTATTCGTTTCTTTGCTGAGCAGCCAGAAAAAACATTACAGTTTTTTAAAGCTAAATTTTTTAAGATAACTGAGTTTCATCCTTTCTCCAGGACAGATGCCTCAGCACACAACTCAGCTCCTTGACTTGTAAAACGGCTGCTGGGATCAATTTATTTTAACAGTTGACAATCGCAGGAAATCAATTTTTAAGACTGAGCTTGATCGGCAATCCTCAGAATGAGTCAAGGCATAAAACTTCCAAAACCCAAAAGGACTTGGCAAACCATATTCAAGACTTTAGCCCAACATAACTGCAATGGATTCCCATTCTGAGAAGCCAACCTCGGCTGCAGCTCTCGATCTGGCAGGCTAGACCATGCCGTGCGAAATAACAACTATATTGATTTCAGGGGTTTAGGGTTTCCCTGCTACAAGAGTTGGGGTTTTTTGTTTGTTTTGCTTGGCTTTTTTTAAACGTAACATTCCTCACTATTATACTGATTGGTCAAACTTGCTAAAGGCATTATATACCCCCAGGAAAGAGAGATTATATTGTCATCACTGTGGCTAGAGATCCCAAAGGTAGATCAGCCAGAGGTGAGCTGCTGGCAAGAGGCTTCTGTAGGGCTGAGGAGCTCGTTGCGAGTCCTCATTGACATCCCTACACCTCCAAAACAGCCCACCGCAGGGCACAATACAATATATAGGTGGGGTTTTTTCCCCTCCTTGGCTATTGGAACTACTCTGACTAGACTGAAGGTCATTTGTGTTCATGCGGGGCCTGGGGAGACAGGACAAGTTGACTGTAGGACATCCTTTATTTTTGTAAGCGGCGGAAGCACTCATTTTAATGCATACCACAGTTTGTTTAGGTGGATATAACAACAGTTTGAGCACGTGCTTTTGCTGGGATTCCTTGGAGATCGCCCAATGCAGCGGCGCTTGCACTGCAGTCAGGGGAAGGCAGTTGCCTTTGCCACAAAATCGGTGGCCCTGTTTACAGCGACTGAAGTCCTGCTTCAGAGGAGGGGGCTGGAGCAGCAGTTTTACTACTCACACGTGAGAGAACAGCAACGCCACCACTGCACGGCAGGTATTATCAAAAGGGCAAAACCAAACAAATCCTGTTTACATTGACAGTGGGCAGGACCTCCCAGCCTGCATGGCCTTCTGCTCCCACAGCTGCACCGCAAGATCTCCTTTGGCACGTCTCCAGGAGAAGGCCAGAAGCCTCAGTATCTGCAGCGAGTACAGGCTGTCGCTGCTAACGTTCGGAACAACAACAACAACAAAAAAATCATTCAGAATTCCTTACAGCACACTATTACTGTCAAAAACTATATTCACGCTGCTTTACCCAAAAAGGTGCCAGAGGATAGGTACACTTATCAGCAAGGTGCTCAGATACCACAGAGCTCACGTAAATACTCCGCTTGTTAGCTACTTGAAATACAATGCAGGAAAGAAATTAGTATTCATTCCTTCTAAAAAGGTATCTGATCAATCTTAATTTTAAGCCTTACCTACCCAAGAGAATTGCAGCGATTTCAGTAAATGAGAAGAATTCTCTCATGCTGACATCCTTAGACCAAAGCAGAAAGCTGCGGCAGAAGCTCTTTTCACGTAGATAACTCAGATGCTAAACTTAAGACTTAAATTGACTGAAATTGCGTGTGCAGTTACCAAGTACGAGATATTAACTGGTTCGCAATGGGCCTAACCTATCTGCTTTCAGCTGAAACCACCTTTGTCTACAAGTCTAATAGTAATTTGATAGTCCTTCAGGGAATCTGCTTGCCTACAGACCAAATTAGGCATCGCCCACCTCACCTTTGGTCTCAAGGCAATCATCTCAAAGAGGCAAGGGAGCCTTTTCATTAAGAAAGATGCTTCCAACTGAAGTCTGGAACATATAGAACGTAAGCTTCCCCTACTCCCACCATGGCTATACGCTTAAAATACCTCTTTTGTGGCCTTGGGAAATGGGGAACTCCAACAGCAGCTAGGTGTTTCTAAATGGAGCCGAGATCTTAAATCTCTTTCAGGTACTTCCACGTTACGAGTTTCTGAGGTTGACAAGGAGCTTATGCTTGGTCCAAACACAGAATGTGAAATCTGGGCAACAAAGCACGAACTGGTGCAGCTTCCGTATGGAAAAACACTCTATTTTCCTCAGAGTGCTTTGTTTTATCATCCTTCCACACTAAGCAGAGCCCCATACAAGCATAACTTCTAATGTCAAAGTTATTCCAGCACCCGGCTGTGCCAGGCAGCAATGGGGATCAGCCGATATCTATGCGGTGTTGAAATAACCCCAGTTTTACAGAGAAACAAATGCTTCTTTATTCACATCGGCGTAGGCAGAAGGAATTATAGTTGCAGGTCACCAAGTTGGGGAAACTAAAGAAGTGTCTAGAAGATGTCGTTAGGTTCTGAAGAGCTGACTGGGACAACGAAGACTGAACATCTTTCATACCCAGCTACTCGCCACCAATCCCCCACCGTTACGCAGAAAACACTCTCATCAAAAGGGAAAATTCGTCAAATATGCTTTAGGGAACAAGCTGACCCGAGGGAGGTGCCAGCTAACAGAGGTGAGACACTAAATTTCATGAGACCTCTGTTCTGATCTGATGTAGAAGATTAATGCCAACTTCTAACAAAATCTGTTAATCACAATACGCATATCCAGGCTCTTCTCCTCTCTCTGGATGTTTCCACCTTTTGAAAATTTGTTTTCCTTCAAAATACTACATTTGCGTTCCTGACTAACAAATGCCACCCCACATTTAAGACTGAACTAACTCATTCCCCAAACAGCACTTAAAATATTTTAGCTTTACACTGGCAGTCACCCCTCAACTGTTTTAACGGTCACAGCATTAACATATTTAATGCCTCCAAATGAAGATGAAAATTACATCAAGTCTGATAAATTGGCCCTTTTTTTTTTTTGTACCTGCACAATCATATCTTCATCTATCTTCATTTTTTCCCTCCAATCCACATAAAACATTTTTTTCAGCAAAGAAAGACCAGCTTCCCAAGTTCTAGGTTCATGTAGTAGTGAAGCCCGGTATTACCACATTGACTTTACGAGACACCGCGGCTCAGCAGACTACAACGATACTTCTCCCCTCTGTACACTGTCTTCGCTACAAGAACGTTGTATTTAACATCAGTGACAATACTCTTTGTTTCTCAGAATTAAAATAATGAAAAAATCAGTCTCCTAGCCCCAGGGTGGGAAAAAGCACTTCTTCCAGTTTTCCTAGTTGCCCCTCAAAATACACCGCATCACGCACCAAGAACTATGACAAGCACACAAAAAAAAAGTCAGAAATACTGTTTGATGTGCGTACCACCCTCTTTCATCCATAGGAGGCTTCAGGTCAGGTATTTTAAGCACTGAAAAATAGCATTAGCGCAGAATATGCCAGCACACTTGCTTAGCACAGGTGCGACACCAACACAGAAAGATTCTCGTCAATATACTGCCAAATTACGGAGATGGAAGACAGGTTATGATTCACAGCAGAAGACTGCAACGTGCAACACAGCAGCATTTCCAACGAAGGATATGAAAGCTACAGCCAAACAAGACGGGCTTTCAAGTTACATCTCCAAGTGACCACATTCCTGTTCTAAGGCAAGGGGAAAAAAAAAAAAACCAACAGATATAAATATTCTTCTCTAAATTCTGAGGGGAGAGAGGGGGGAGAGGAGGGCATCCACCACCACATTAATCAGTCTCTCCTTCTGTCACACGACTTTACAGATCCTCAAACACCCTGTCACCTTTTTGACACTTAAACTAGGTTCACTTTTCTCTCCCAGACCGAGTCCATCATGAACGCACCAGCATATTGAAAACTCACCTAATTCTGTTGGCTTCAACAGTTCATCCAGCGTCGTATAGAAGGGAAGTTTCACCAGCCGAACTTCAGGCTTCGCCACTTTGGGTGGCAACCTTCCCAGTCCGTTAAGGTATTTCCCATAGAGCGCAGGATAGTCAATATTAGTAGTGGAGATAGAAGTCCGAGCAACGGTGCTCCCGCGGTCATACGACGAATGTATGGAGAGTGCCTCGGGAGACCGGTGCTGCTGCGGCTGAGGCTGCGCGACTTCAGAGCTCTTCTTGGCGTAGCGAGTCTCATAGAGCTCTTTAATTTTCTTGAAAACTTCAGGGCTGCAGTCAAATTGGACCAATTGCAATGCTCTGGTGACTAGTTCATGTTTAAGTCCGCTTTTACTCCTGCCAACAAAACCCAGCAACATCTGAAGATCTGAGACTCGGAAACTCATCACCATGTTCTAGGGGATAAAAAATTAAAAACGTTCTTACAGTCATAAAAATGCAAAGCGTCAGTTCTCACTATACTCTATAACTGGAATTCAAAATACTAAAAAATCCCTTATAAGACAGACACCAAACCGTCTGTTCAAATCAGCTGTTATTCACTTGATTAGCATCCCATTTCTTAGGTACTTGTTTGAGCAAAGCAAATACAGAGGAGACCGTCAACTGAAATACACCAAAATCAGAGAAACCCCACAATAGTCCTCAAATCACTCAAAAATCATTTGTGATAAATGCTAAGCCTCCTCAAGACAGTTCGACTGGAAGCAAGAGTGACCACAAAGGAAAACATCTCAAACAGCAGGCCCCACACATGAAAGAGCACATTAACTCCTTTACCACAGAGGCTCAAAGCATCCAAACTTCCCAGGCACCTTTGGGTAAGAACTTAATCTGAAATGGTACTAGCGTAAGGCAAAGGAAGAAAATGAATGTGAACGGGAAGGCAGATGACATTTAAGTGAACCGGGGCCACCAATCCTTTCATACTGTATTTCAGTGCACCTGTATATTATCTGTACGGGCAAAAAACCCCTCCAGAATCCTTCCTACGTACACAGGATCTTTAAAAAAATATCATGTATTTTAGACTATGGAAAGATATTAAAAGACTATTAAAGAGAGCAATATGTTCCCATGAGAACAGTGCCTCCAAACCCTATTTGAGTGCTTTGCCAAGCACTCCCCCATGATCGCAGCCAGTAGCGGCCTTTGCTGTTGCACTGGCACTATCGATTTCAGCGTTTTGATAAGCAGTAAAAAAAACCAAACCCCACAACTATCTCCGTCTTCAAAAATTTACTCTCTTGCTGCTGTGGAAACTCAGCAGGTCTGTAACTGCCAGCAGATTCAGAGACCATACTATATGGCAACTTTCCATCAGACTAAGAACTAGAAATTATTTCTGTTAAAACTACTGCTAGAGTCTGGTCAGATTGATGTTTCAGTTCTCTCTTATGACAAAGCAGCCTTATGAATGCACAAGGCAAGCTTATCAAGTATATGTTTTTGAAATTTCAAGCTGCCCTGAAAACATACTTGATAGGTACCCACAGTTATTCACTCAATATCCTTCCTGGTTTGTGGAAAACACAGGAATTCCAGAAGAAACTCCAGCTGTCCCACAGTAAAAAAACCAGAAAACCAAAACAGAAGCAGAGACCCAGTGGGTTTGGAAGTTAACAGTAGCCTTGTAATCTCCTGGAATAAAATAGAATACGGATTTTTTTTTTAATTAAGAAAGCTACTACTGACTCCAGAAACACTTAACAACCACTTTGGCGTGTGTGGGAATTAGACTACAGAGAAAATGTCATTTTATTTTCTCCTTTTTTCATGAAATCTCTCATTTAATCTGGAAGCCCAAAAGATGTTACTCAAACATCACTGGTTGTAGTTAAAATTTTTGGCAGTCGTGATGTGTCCCAAAATACCTTGATGAGAGGAAAAAAAAGGCAGATAACTCTAAAGAGGAGAGAAAGGATGTTTGATTTCCAGAAAGTCAGGATTCAAGAGATCTGGATTCATGTCACTGCTTCGCTAGATACCACCTGGGCAATCTTGGGAGAAATTTAGTTTCTGTGTCTCAGTTTTCTCCAAAATGGAGAGCGCGCTGTCCTCTCTGAGGCACTTTGAGGATAAATGGCATATTTGCAAAGATAAATATGTCAAGGCAGTATAAATACTTCAACAGCACATTACCGGGGAAGTCACAGGAGCACAGCAGACAGGTATTCCTGTACTCACTGTTCCTACACCACCGGTCACTTGGGACTCTCGGTGCGTAAAGTGGAGTTCGAACTGACACTCTTCTGCAGTTCACATTTAGAAGGATTTAAGATCCAGAAGGATGACCAGATTTGAGCAATAACAGAAGAACAAGCTTCAGACAAAGAAAATCTACCACCGAGGCTTGGACCTGCACGATAGTATGAGCTGTAGAGAGATCACATTAACTACTGAGATCGTTAACGCTAAAGTCTATTCCTCCCCCCGAGGAAGCCTTGCATGTGAGTGGCACAGAGCCCAAACACCCGCTATGGGGGCAACCACGATGCCCTGGAAGCTCATCTCCTCCTCCAGAGTCCTGGGCTCAGCTCACAACACCGGGAGGGGCCCAACAGCAGGGAGAGGGCAGTGCCTCCTAAAACAAGACTCTTCCAAGTCTTATTTTTGCAACCACCTAGCTATATCCTCACCGATGAGCTGATGCTGCAGGCACTAAACATTTTCTATCCATTGGCGCTGCTCAGTAAGCGCCCTCAGCACCAGCTTCCCCATGACGCTGTTGGGTAAAGCCCGCTCAAGTGCCACCAGCCGGTCCTCTGCGCTGCCACGCGCCGACAGCGGGACGCGGAGAAGTCCTGGCTCCCAGAGAGGTGCCAGTGAACCGGGACCCAGAGGGAAAAGAAGAAACCCGCCGCAGAGCGGGGGCCCTTCCCCCCAGAAGGCCCGATGGGGTGCACAAGACGCCTTCGAAGCACAACGCAGCTTCAGGCACGTCTGCTGTGAGGACACTTCACCTCACCCCACCCCGGAGGAGCCTCAGAGCCTGCCCCAAGCCCCCCCACCGCAGAGAGCCGGGGGCTCTACCCCAACACCGGGCACCGCTCGTCCCACGGCCATCCCCCCGCCCCCCCAGCCACCGCGAGACGGGCAAAACCGC